TTCTTCTTGTTTCTTTTCTCATTCTTCTTGTTTCTTTTCTCGTTCTTCTTGATTAATTTGCTGTTCTTGTATTGCTGCCATCAGATCTGCTAAGCTGTAGTTTGATTTGCCACTTCTCGTTTCCATTTTTTTCTGTCCCACTCTTTGACACCAATTTGTTACGTCTCTGTGTTCGTTTGTTAATTTTCCATAGAAATTCTTTCCGAAAAACTTCAGCAATACAAGTCCTTTCTTAAATAAAACTAGTTTATTCTTTCTCAATACAACTTTGCAATACACTTAATTTCCACAGTCACATTAACTTAAACAAACACTATAAATCACAACGAACGATTCACACACTTTACCTACTACCGTGCTTGACTCAATTGTCTGTCTCTATCTCTGTCTGCAATTCAATTCCATTGTTGCCGTCACTTCTTACCGGTCTTATATATACAAAAAGCGTACATCTCGTCTCTTCGTGAATCTTCTAGAAACTCATCACGTGTTACCAGCGTCACGTGACTTGCGCTGTCCTAACAATATTAACAACAATAATCGGCACTTTGACGGGGGAATGATAACCAGAGAACCATGTAATGGTACAAGTAAGTCGGTGGCCGATTTACTCAGTATGATGGCAATTAATCAGCAGGGAATTTTTGTTTTTGTTCTTGGAAACTCTGATGTGTTGCTGAATTAGGCCAATGAAGTGTCGGAACTACTTGCAGGTAGCTATGCACACTACTTGGAAACTCATAAGGATACTGAGGAAATGTCATTTAAAAATTCATGTTGGGAGCTAAAAATAGCTTTTCACTAGGAGGAGAGTTGTTCTACAGGAATTTTCCCCAGGGCGAAAAGAGTTCTCCAGGTCCAAAGAAGTTTTTCCAATCTGAAGATGCTGAAACTGTCTAGTATACAGAGAGGCCAGAACACCATTCCAACTTTGATGTAATTTAAAATGCAATTTTTCTCACTCGATCAATGTAGTTAAGAACTTAAACAAAATGTATATCAGTCTTGGAGTCATTCTTTAGTATAACCATAATTTTTCTCGAGTTAGTGACTTGTGTGCTCCACTCGCAACTGCATACCACAAATTAATATACATTTAGTGTGACTGGTGATAAAGGCGAAGCTCCAACAACTAGCCTAAATGCCTGCCCATCACAACTGGTGCAGTCTTTGATGATTTTTGCAGTAACTAATGACAACTTGGTTAGAGTAAAGAAAGGAGTAGAAGTAAGTAAGTAAGTTTAAGCAGTAGTGTAAGTAGAAAAGTTGAAAGTAAGTGGATATTGTTACTGCTGACATAGACACGACTACAGAAGAGGGTGGTACATGCCATAGAGGTGATAGAAGGGCTGATGCTAATTATGAAGCTGCAGCAGAGCAACCTGCACAAGTAGGTCCACGTGGCGCCACACATTTGACGAGTGCTATACCGTTTTATCATGGTAGGCTTGATGAGGATGTCGTGGGTTTTATTGATGCTCTAAATGATGCTGCCAGAATATCAAGTTAGTCTGTGATCGAATTGATCCAACACACCAATCTTTTGGAGCTCCTGGCTGTTTGTTGGGCATTAGATCATTTCCTACCTGTGGTACAGAATCTTGTCATGATCCATTCTGACAATTCGACCATTGTCTCTTACATCAACTGTCAAGGGGACACCCAGTCTCTTGCTTTGTTTTCAAATACTGGATCTCCTCTTCTTGTAATATGCAAAATGCATGTAGTTTGAGTACTACTCACCAGATAGCGCATTGCTAGACCACCATGAGAGAGGGATGATGTAATGCCAGTGGACACCTTGGTATAATGAGTGAACCACTAAAGATTGACAATGTGTCATCAACTTTATAGTAACAATCAAAGTCTTAAATTAATAAGTGAATCTAATTTGCATCACGTTACTTTTATAATTATCACAATTACAATTTCGTTTTATGAGTAAAACATTTTTCTATTTTAATCTTATCAACTTTATAGTTTTCTCTTACATATACGTCTTACAAAGGCAGATGATGTTACTAAGAATAGTGTTTGTAGAGGCAGATGGTGATGAGCTCATCATAGGATGTTTAACATGTCATCAACATCTACATTTAATAATTAAAATAATATAAAACTACTATTTGTATTGTTGTTGTTGTTGCTGTTGTTGTTTACAAAGACTGACAGTGCTTTTATGGGTGGATGGTGTTATTATTACAAGGTCTTATTAAGGATAGTATTACTTTATTCAAACAGTGTTTCTACAGATCCATAGTATTTTAACACACCTGCTGTTTTGCTTTTACAAGTAAAATCATTATAACTGTTACATATGTCAGTTTTAATGGCAAATAGTATCCATTATTTGAGCAAGGTAAATATTATAGCCAATAATTTAACTTACATACTTTTACGATTATCGTCCTGAAAAGAATGGTTATTTAAATCATATGTTTTGTTTTATAACTTGATCACTAAAGTTTAAAAGACATATGTTTAACAATTATCATTGTATAAAATCTTTGTCGAGAGCCTGTATTATACTGACTGAAACTAACAGCATATAGGCATTCTTTCCATTTCTGAAGGTCATTAAACTACCCATTTGGCTACAACTAAATATAATATATGAATGACTTACTGTTTAACCAATCATTTTACTATTAGAGAAACTATTTAAAGTAGCAACACTTACCATTTTCTATAGAGCAGTCACTTGAAGTATAAAACATGACATATAAATCACATAAAAA